AAAAATCCCTCAAAGTGGTGGCCAGTTTTGCGAATTGTAGAGTGTGGCGGTTGTCGGTGGCCTGAATATTCAGAATAGTATAGCTTGGTTGTTCCAATTATTGCGAAACCCCATCACCATAGCAATTCGTTTAGCACCCCGCCCTTCAGGGAACTAATTATTCAAACAACTCCCAAAGATCTTTGGTCTAATCATGAAGGCCCCTATATTCGAGTCTAGCTTGGCCGTCAAAGCTGTTGAACAAATCGCAAATAAGATCCTCTTCGGCACCGTACATAAGGGAACGCATGAAATGCCACATAACTCCTAAACCTAAACCCTTAAACCCTAAACTCTAAACACTGCAAAACCCTCCATCGCCTTCTCCGCTTTCTTGCTCCGCTCCGCCGGCGCGGCCTCGCCGCACACGTCCAGCAAAGCGCCGAGACTTGCACTTGCGAGCGCCTGCAGAGGCGCGGGCTCGGGATCACCGAACCTTAAAGCTTGAACTGCACAGCCCCGAAGCTCGAGACCCAAAACCCGAAATCCTAACCCTGACTCTGTGGGGTGCTAGCCACACCGCCACCTCGCTGTCTCCGTGGCCACCCCGGCTGCCGACGGCAAGGGTGCTCACACCCTTGCCGCGGAGAGCCTCAGTTGGAAGGCCGTCATCTTAGTAGTAGGAGGAGTAGTGCTAGTAGTAGCGGTCCTGGCCGTGGTCGTGGTGGTGGCAGTAGTAGCTGTCGTCGTCGTCGCAGAAGTAGGAGCAGCAGCAGCATTAGCAGCAATTTTCCAAACCGAGCAATACATGTTTTGTTGTCCCTGTAGCTGCGTCGTTGCATAGCAGAGCAGCCGTGGCAGCAGCAGAAGTCCCAGGAGCAGCGCGGAGCTAGTCTGTGTGGTCCGATAACCCTTAAGACTGAACCCTAGGCGACAAACACTGACCTTACTTGTCGGGTATCATGGGGAACTAAAGGTTAACCTTTGGGGTTTTATAGGGAGAGTATGGGGGGGGATATACTACCCCCAATAAAGGTTCAAGGTTAACTACTCTACTACTAGGTGAAAACCAAGCCCATCCTTGAACAAAAAGGCAACTAGGCAACTCCACCCCCCCTGTATCCTCCATGTTATCAGCCCAAAGGCTAAACTGAAACCCGGGACCACCCCCCTAAGCCCTAAACCCTAAACCCGAAACCCTAAACCCTAAACCCTAAACACTAAACACTAAGCCCTAAACCCTAAAATCCCAAACCCGGAACCCCGAAGACTAAACTTGGGAATTAGGATTCGGG